CATTAGTTGTAATATAAATTGACTAGAATATATAATAAAAGACGAAAATAGGCAAAGCGTTAATTATACGCATATTAGAATACAATTTTTGTAATACATTATTTCGTGTTGTGTTTAATTTTAGTACTATAGATAAATCAAGTAATTAACACAATATCTGATTATGAGGATGTAGATTTATAACGTTACGCCGACTAAAGTACTCATTATACGCTATAACAGGAAAATAATAAGAAATGTTCAAAAGGAGCTCGTTTTTACCCCGCCAGAGTAAGGGTTAAATCCGTTTTAAAAATTAAGAATTTTTAGCGAATTGTGTTGCTATTCTATTAATAAGTGTGGAAGTTTGTGATCATAAATAGATGAAGGGATGGATGGGAGGATGTTAGTTACTCTTTTATGCAAAAATTACTGAACGAACTTGAATGACATTTGGTACATGGGTAGGTTATATACTAACTTAGCATATACAATATTTACTGATACAAGTGAGCAGGGCCGCGGGCAACAACTAATCCAATTTATGTTCTGGTAAAGCTGATTAGTATTGGAAGGATTGGAAAATGATTTTATTATGGAAAGCGTATATAAGGCCTAATTCTCAACATGATATGGTTCATATTTATGTACATATATAGATAAAAATAAGACAGATTTGTTAATATATAAAAAAGACAGACATTTATTGATTTTTGTTGAAATAAAAATATATGCATAGAAAAATAGATAACGAAATATATAAATCTAAAAATAGAGGATTCACGGGGATTTTCATATAATGTAAGTAAATAAAAATGGATTTCTCGAAAATAATGGAATCCACGCGAGTAAAACTATGGAAAAACAATTATAGAAATATAATACATAACAAGTAAAAACAAGAAGGATGCATACGTAAATATAGTTGTGTATGACTGGTATAGCTACTCATTACGTTTATCTACCATAGGGGTAGGCATAAATAACAGGATGCTAAATATAATTTCGACTAGTAAACGCCGACATACGTTGTCTTTCTTGCCTGTGAATGTTTTTTACTTCTCTACTTTAGTACGTGTTATGAAAATGATACTATAATATATTAACAAAATTAAAAAGAATACTATCAATATACAAATGAACTTTTTTATTCTGTGGGTTAGAGGACGGGGTATGTATTAAAGCCGACGTAAGTCGAGAAGGTTAAACCTAACTTAATAATATAATATATAACAACACAATGCATCATATCGGGGTATGAGAAACTGACAGGGATCTATTACGTCAAACGACATAATAACCTTGTCCAGTATATCTACTAGTATCTGGCCAATAAAAACAAATTACAGGTTTCTAATCTAATGTGAAGAGAAACTCTCATCCAACCACACGTTAAAGAAAACGATTTTGTGAAAATCCTATGGGAAATGTCCGTTCAAACACGTATCACCGTTATGTACAATAGACTAGGTTTGATATACATGGATAAAAATAATAATAAAATATATTTAATAGATTTAACTGTTGGTATCATCTGACTATATTATAGGAACTAAGGAAATTAAAAAGGTAAGCAAATATCACCTTCTAAAAATTGAAGTTAGTCGTTTGTGGAACACATAAACGATTGTCATTACGATAGTTATAGGCTCAACAGGAATAGTAGCTAATAATATAAAAAAATATACAATTAAGTTAAATGTAAACATTAATATCACTATCTAAAAAAAAGTAGCCATTCACACATCAACCACACTCAGCAAAGCATTAGGATATACCGTATTCATACACAATACACAAAATCATCACATTCAAGACACGCAGTGATCATAAATCATATAATAAACAACTAACACATGACATTCAACAAACACCTTAGAATCATCTAACACAATTCATACACCGAACACAATCATTCACAAATTCAGTAGACACTTAATAAAAGAGAGGATAATGTAGGAGAAGAAAGATATAAAAAAAATATCGATAGAGGACATAGGTATATACCTTTTTTTCATGTAGGTTATAAAACGGGGTATATATTAAAGCCAACATGGAGTTGAAAAAATAAGAATCTAACTTAATATGTAGTAAAATGTAACATAAATATATAAATTTTTCGTGATCTAATTGTACTCGTACTATTTATACGTCAGTAAAGTGAAAAGTTACACAAATATGAAAAAAATGTATTATGTAACACACTTTGTATGAGCTAACTATCGCATGGTGATAGATCAAATGATATTAAACTCTATCAATCTCGGACATACCAACACATATTTTTATATTAGTCATATGGCGGCTTTACCCGCGTGAATTAGTGGTAGTAATATTATAAATATATATAGTTTCAATCAAATCCATTTGGTGATAATAATAGATAATAAACAAATATTTAAAAATCAAAATTTTTATAAGTAAGATAGATAATAAATATTTCCAAAGCTCATCAGGAAGTATGCGGACAAATCGCGACCCTTAACAAAAATTTGGCAATTATTCTTGTTAATTGCTTAGGGTGAATTGAATTGAATGATAATTCCGTTCAAAAACCGCGTAATAAATTCAGATAATACCTTCATTCAGCAATATTTTTGCATATCATCCGATTTATTTCACTGTTTAGATTAGTAACGCCCTTTTATAAAGATTAACTTTGCTCAGTTCAAGTGAAGAGGCTTCAGAAATGGATTGCTTAACTTTGCCAAAGATTAGAAAGATGAGTATCGACCGCTGTCAACGTTGATTGATGTTCTGCGTATCTACTAACTATCTATTAACCTTTATTTATAGCTTATTAGGTGTAATAAGTTCGATAATTAGTTAGTATGGATTACTATTACGAGGAGTAACTATAACACCAAACAATGTATTTCAATTTCATTTTAGGTATTTTTTATGTTGTTGTATCAGCCGTTAACTGTTCATTGCTATACATAGCCTCTCCCATAATAAGGTTCTGCCAGTAGTTGCCACGCTCGGCAGACAAGTTGGTAACCGCAGTTTGGCGGGGGGAAGGGATTGTTAATATGGAGGATCTAACAACACTATAGCTAGCAATATACCCTATCAGGATGACCTCACCATCACAACAATCTTGATTAATTCTTTAAGCATTCGTCACTATGGGCTAACTGATCTGTTTCATCCTCATCTATCATCCCTCACTGGAGCTCTGCCAGTGTATACCGATAGCGCAGGTGAGGTTACCATTCCATTATTAGCCATAAAAAAAACCGCAGTTTGGCTTTTAGTGATATTTTAAAAGGGATGCTGCTGCCACTGCAAGCTCCCTTAGTTGTTTTTTTTTTAATGGATGATAATGGAATTGTAATCCCGCCTGCGCTAACGGTATATGCTGGCGGGGTACCAGTGAAGGATGATAAGTGAGAATGAAAAGTCAAGTCAGTTAGTCAATCGTGATGACCACACCTGGAATTCAACACAATGCTTTCCAGCGATATCAGGTCGACCTGACAAGATGTATTGCTAGCAATAGGAATGGTACTCCGTATTGCTAACAATCCCTTCTTTCTTTAGTCGCCTATTATGATACCCACGAGAAAAGAAGTGGTAGCCTATTCTATTCTGGGACCTACACGGAAACTATCCGTTGCGTAGTTAAAAAAAAAATAAGCGGTAAAATGGACAGCAATTTTTTTATACTTTTTAAAGATTTTGGTTTATTTGTTACCTCTTGATACCTTGATGGCTCAACAAATCGTGATATTATAGTATACTATTCGAAATTGAGACGAATATAGGCTACTTATACTTATCCCAGACGAAATGGTGGATAAAATTTAGTGTTAAAATATAAATTCGTTCGCCAAAACCTCGAAGCGTACTTAACTTGAAAGCTGTCTTTCTAGTTTGCTCCAGATTCGCTAAATGTAGATTAATATGCTGCTCACATATATTCTGTAGCTTATTCCAAATATTAGGAAAAATGCTTCTATGTTTCTTCTCTAATCGATATTTTGTCAGTGCTAGCATGGAAGCTGTAATAATGACAATACTGCGTTGTTTACATTTGTTTTTTTTTTTACTTTTTGATGTTGATATATTTGCTTCTCCATCAATGCAAAGGTGCGGAAGTTAATCTGACTCATTGTAAGACCACATACAATGAGTATTTGCTATATTATATCCTACTCATATTATAAAGGCGAAAATTTGTAAGGATAGATAGATGTCTATTACCGTTTCATGTAAAAACTACCAAACAGATTTGAATTAAATTAAGTACAAGTTTAGGTTTTTTAATAGGTGAGAATGGAATAGTAACTTCGCTTGCGCTATCGGTATACGTTGGCCAGATGACAGATAAGAATGAAAGCACGTCACTTAGCCCATCGTGACGAATTGCACAACAATTAACCTCGACGATTTCCAGGGAGAGGTTCCAACTGAGTAGAGGTTGACTTGATATTGCTAGCAATGGGGCTGTTAGATCCTATTACTAAGAATCCTTTTCTTTCACATGGTTAGGTTAGATAGGTACACTTTATATACTGAATCACGCAAGTAAAGCAGCAGGATACAGTTAATGATAAATAACAGACCACAACTAGGTATATTGAATAGCATAACATACATTTATATTTTTATGTAAGCAGTTTAAATTGGATTACAGAAATGAAACGAAATCTGTACCTACTGACTAACCAAGTTCTTAATACTATTCTGGGAATTACCGTAACAAAAATGTTTATGTACACAAAATCCAATATCAGTACTTAGTCTTACAATTGTTATGGTTTCATACAAATTAACGCTGAAATATAATTTCATAAATTGTTTAACCAATTGCATTTCCTTTGTACGCGACTTACCAAAACCAGACGGTCCGTTGCATGTTTATTTTGATACGAACACCTTCGCATTTCCTTTTTGTAGACTCCAGTGAAGCATGTTCTCAAAGTAAGAACCGACAAATACGTATCCATCTCACTCACACATATGGGAAAGCAAGAATATATAGTGTGCTTTTTCATGCCGGTTACAGGAGTGTAGGAAAAGCTTTCAGTCCGCTTCGGAGCGGCAGGGCGCGCGGATGTGTGAATACGCCGCCCAGTACTTCGCCGCGTATTTTACAACGTTCGTGCGGACGTAAATTTATTTCGAATGCCAATATGGGTGCCATTGCCGCTACAGTGTTACGTTTGATATGTGCTTAATACTTATGCGTCGGCAATGTACTTTTTTATTGTACTCTAATTAAATTTCTTAACGATCGGTCGATCGTAAGTGGATGGATGGTGTGATGGATTCGATGTAAAAAGTTTATTTTCGTCGCGTGATTAAAGCATACACATATTAATGCACCTGACTCCCAATATTTAGCCAAATTCCAAACAAAATATGTCTGTTTATGTAGTGTTTAGTTAGAACACACTTAGATTTTAACCCGTCGGTCCAATCTAGTGACTTAAATTAGAAACCTGTAATATCAAAAATATATCAACATATACTTCATATCCTATACCAACTTTTAGAACATTGTAAATATTTTTAAAGACTTTTATGTATCAATATTCTTCTGGTGTGTGGACCAAAGATTATAAACGATATCAACTTAAAGAAACACTATTACTGACTACCAAGTAAGCGAATAAAACAGTGTTTAGTGTAAATAATAGTTCATAAGAGAATATATCAAGTATCAAAATTGAAAATCCGAAAACTCAAGAGTTCAGTTGAGTTTATCGACTACAACGAAAATTAATTGATATTGATTTTCTACGAACACAAGGTAAGACTACGTGTACTTTTATAAAATTTTGCTTGTACATGCAGTTTACATATGTATAGTATAAATGTATTTAACGTATCTATTATAAGTATATTTGGATACAATTCTGACAATGGTAATGAAACCATAAAGATTTTGTTAGATGCGTATTATTGGTATTAGTTTATTATTATGACTTTTAAGTGGGTTTACTTTTTAATTACCGTCAAATGAATTAAGAATTATAGAATGGAAAGAACGAAGAAATTATTCTTTTATTAGAAGCTGTGAAAAATCAATACAATCAAATTCAACTACCCGAAAGTAATAACAATAAATAAAGCGCAATAAACTTTATTAATATTCTCGGTTAAGGAACCATTAAGACGTTACTAATATAATTTGGAAATATTAAGTACTTTATGACAACGTGGATCGTCTCTATACCAAATTAATAATTATCTTACTATTGGGCACTGATCTCTTTCCACATGAAACTCAGGCAGGAGAAGAAAAAAAAGAAAGATTCGAAGTGAAAGTTTATATAGCAAATAGAATTTGTCTCGAATTTTTTCTCTCTTGCTTTGTTATATTGTGATATAAAACACAATGTAATCGTTATAATTTCATACTCTTATGATATCTTAGAAACGAGGAGGAACGATTATATCTTGTATTTTTAGCGACTGTAAGTCTTTATTTGTATGTAATACTAAAAATATTGAAAAAAATATACGCATTTAAAAATAAGAATGAAAATAAACATTTCTTATGACAGTGGCGTAATTATTTTATAATGGCGGCCGTTATACACAAAAAACGTGTGCGTCATAGCTTGAGGTTATTCTAGAAACATAATTTTAATAGCATATCCAGAATACCCAATAACTATCTCTACATATCGGTTAACTTCGATAATTTTAACGTTTACGTACTATTACGTGGTCATATTTAATTCAATGATGTTTTTAACCTACTTCAAAAAGAAGAAGGTTCTTAATTCGGTTGTATTTTTTTATGTTATAACTTTGTCAGTTAATTTTAATATATTATTATGTGGTTTTATATAATATTTGCTTTTTTATAGATGTATTGGACTTTGTAAGGGACTCTAGTTAGTCATTATTTTTATTACTTCATCCGTTCACCCTCAGTCTTCCTATCATTGTTAGTCTATAATATGCCTAGTTTTTTATAGTCTGCCATAAAGAACAATTTTCGACCATCTCTTTATCAGTATCTAAGCCGTTAACTGTCCATTGCTGAACATAGACCTCCTCTATAGATTACTATAAGGAACATTCCCCAGCCACTTGCATCTATTAATCTCTGTGATATTTGAGATCATCGCTCCATCTAGTGATGGGTAGTTCTACACTAGCTATATGACAAATCTATTATCAATTTAGCTTGTTTATCCTTCGGGTTATATCGATCACTTTGGTTCTTCGAATATCCTCATTTCGGATTCTATCATGCAAAGAAACTCCGAGCTCGCTTAGCAACTTGAAGCTTCTGCATACGGCCAACTGAATAGGAAGGACCATATTTCGATTTTGTAGATCATCATTGTCAACATGCATTGGTCTTCGTCTTCAAATTCTGAGGTATTTTGGATGAGAAGATGTAGCGTAGTTTTCCGAATGCTTCCTAGCCATGTCGGATTTGCCGGTTGACCTATCGGTCGAGGTTGGACTTACTAAGTCTGATAAGTTGTCTCAGGTATAGGTATTCGTCGACAATTTCGATCGTAGTGTTTTTAATCATAACTGGTATACATAGGTGTGGCATAGATGTAACATATGATTTAGTCTTATCCATGTTAATCTTAAAATATCTACGTCCCCATAATACATTGTTGTACCATCTAGTAGATGGTTCTTCTACACTGCTTTTGTTTATACGAGGTCAGCATTCAAGAACATTTCTATTGTGAGTCATTAGGAAATTACTGCAGTCCTCAGTTTTATTTTTCATAGAGAGTCTTTTCAAATAAAGAAGGTTAGCTATCAGCTCGCGAAATCTGTTCTAGTTTCTTATAACTTCAAACTTAGCGTATGTAGGTACTTTATTTGTTCAGCTGGGGTTTTTCTTTATTTGGTTAGGCTGTTTGCGCTTGCTGCTCACGTTATGTGGAGCGATGATTTCTATTTACTGTGGATTTTAGGAATGTCAGATTATATTTCTACAGGAACAAGGAATTGGGATTAACAATGACGGAACCATTTTGTATAAATATATGGTATTAATAACATGTACAGTTGGATTCCAGCAAATGTCCTATGTTTCAATAAATTTAGAGAAATAAAGAAAAATTAGAATATCAGAAAAGGAATTACACAATTTCTTGTTCACTTTATTTCTTACCTAATGTACTTAATATGTTCAGACACATTTTCTAGCTATTGTTATTTGATATAGGAATGTAGAGTTTAAAGGGACACAATGTATCTCGAATTCTGCTTTCAATATTATACTTCTCCTAGTTTTGTGTTATGTGTGTGCTAAAATTATTCAATAATTTATATCATAAAGTAATTATGACGTAAATTATTAACATAAATTCATGAAATAGATGAATTATAAAATACTTTTTGGTAGAACTACGTTTAAAATAATTTCACTTAATCGATATTTGGATAAAAATATTGTTAAAGACCATTTATTTATATGTGATTTAAACTACATTAAAATATAATATAGAAATTTCTCATTCTTCATTTTCGTTCCTGTAAATATAGTTACTAAATAGCATCTACATATTAGATCAAACCAGATTGTCACAGATAAGAATTGTTTTCTTCAATAATATAAAATTATTAATAAAATATAATTTTCTTCTACATAAGAAGCTATATTTTAGAGCCTCTCGAACCAAAATTTTTAATTAAAGTTTCTTATTAAATTAAATAGTGTGATAATGTAATTTAAAATCTTATTACGTACTAGCCTACTAGTGACTGGGATTTGTTGATTGACTGAGATAAATAGAAGCCTATGTCTTTCTCTATTCCTATAGTACGTTCATACAAAATTTTATAGTGATTGTTTAAGCCAATAAAGTGCTAAGAAGTAACAAATAAACAAACTCACTTTCAAATTTATAACATTAGATATAAAACAAGAACGACTTTAAACGATATGAAAATTAACATACTAATTTATAATTTAGGACTGGCAAATTTAATTAAATATTATTTTATAATATAACAATCCTTTTAATTCTCATTAGAATTTCTACTGACTTTTATATGCCTAAGTTTGTAATAAATTAGTCTAATTAATTAAAATGTGCAAATAGAACCAAAAAGTCAATCAGAATTATTTCGTTATATTTATAAACTTCCAGTGTAACCTTTTAAGAGCTGTTTGTATTATAACGGCGGTATTGAAGAGTACTTTATCAAGTAAAGTTTTCAGGACACTCTTGTACCGTCATCCGCTAACATTATTTTATGTTATTCACTTCATTATCTTCTTGTATGCTACCTATTCTGTGACGATAATATAAAATAATACACCGGAACTAATAATAGAAGGTAAAAATGCTATAACAATTAAATGTTTTATTAGGGTTGTAAAATTCTATTAATAGAATATTAACATTATAAATAGGAAAATTTCTAAAGTTGTTTGGATGCTTGTTATTCAATCACACCTAAACGGCAAAACAGATTTTAATGAAACTTGCTACACGATTTTTTTATATTGTAACTCAAGACTTGGAATATTTTATATGCTATTATCACGCGGTCGAAGCCACAGGAAACTGCTAGTTAATATTAATCGTCGTTACTTTTAAATTTTAAAACACTGCTTACAGGCTCGTTTTCTATTTTTATCCTTAGGTTTATAAATTTAGAAATGAGTTTATTTTTTTGTTACCTCTTGGCGTTCTTAACAATTCAATCAATCGTCATAAAATTTGGTATACACATGTTAATTTAGGATAAAGAAGGACAGAAGGACTCGTTGTTTATTATAGGCAATCATGCTGATGAAGCGGGTCCAATCTAGTATTATTAAAAAAAAAATATATTACATAGGTACACATCTATCACGCTTGTTTCCAATGGAGAAATTTCTGATGTCTTCGTATTGGTATAAAATTATTTTCATATAATTCGTACCTTATATGCAGATAAATTTCTTTAAGACCCAGCATTTATAAATATTTATGTTTTAAAATAATTCCAATAAATTTCTTAGAATATATTTTTATAACTTTTGGAATAATATTTTAATCAAAAATATTTGATCGTGGGATATAAACGGTTTTTCCACTTGGTAGAATATTTGCCAAATATTGAGTTTCAAAATTTAGGGATTTGGAAGATGATAGCTTACTAATTCGAGTTAATGAAAACTCAGCGAATCGGATTTTGTGACCTCGGTTATTTATAAACTGCGACCCTCAAAATGTAAAGCTGTGGTTATTTTTATATTTATCGTCTGTAAGATAATCACTTACTTGTAACTTTAATTATATAATAAATAATACAATTAAATATAGGTATATCAAAATACACAAAATAGAATGGTGAAAATTGTTTATTATTTATTTTGCTAACTTACATATCTATATATTTCAATACAATAAAAAGTAACCGAGTTTTGTTGAAATTGCCACAAAAATATGTTCTTAATGAAATTCATTACAAAATGAAATATTAAATCAAGTGGACATCAGCAGATTGTCTCATAGACATGTAGACTATATATTAGTTTATTTCATGAATTGAAATACACTATTGAAATAAGAACATATAAAATAAATTATTATAATATATTGATTAAATTTTAAAAATATGCAATTCGTAGTCAGAAAAATGGTCGATATTTTAAATTTATTTTAAGAATATTCAATACTAGTTGAAAAATTTATTAATATTATTATTTTGTTTATTTTTTTCTGTATCTATATTTCGACATTCATTTCAAAATTAGATTAGAAGCTTTAAATCGAATATAAGAATTCCAGTAGGGAATTTTGAGCTTACTTATTTGAGTGAAAAAGGGGC